ACTCTGTATGTATGTCCATAATAACTATCAGTATGATTTGATGACAAGAAATAATTGATTGAATAAAGTAATGCTAAACAATTAAATAATACAAATCTGTAAGTTTACGATCACTTTAATCATAGTGTTACCTCACAGGGTAGTTAAACATAAACGAAAACCAAATTACAAAAACTTTCAGAAACACTAATCAAACACTAAATCCTTAAATTTCCACATGTCTTCTTTCCATCGTTAAACATTTTATTGTTCGAGCACAAAATTCTCCATTGAAATTTTCTAAAATAGATTTCGGTACAACACTGCCTAATAACATTTTCTAATCCATGTATATTTTGAATTGGTCTTTCAGCATACACTTTTTCCTTAAAAAAAGTTTTTTTTTCCAAACGAAAGAAACGAAAGTTTGTATTATTAGAACAGTACATATTAAGGTTTATCGTATATGAATTAGGAATAATTTCTTATTTCACATTGAAAATTCGTCTATGAATTGCTAAAATCACATTACCTTAGACTTTTTGATATTTTAAGAAGTGAAGAATTTTACGTTTCTCAACTGTGAGTGTTAGCAAAGTGAAATTTATTACCTAATTAGAGATTTGTCCGTATAAATTTATTCACAATGCCGAGTGCAAATGACAAAATTGAAATAATTCTAATTTATGGAGAAAATAGAACAAATAAAGAAACAGCAGAAATATTTAATCTGCGTAATCTTGTCATTAAATCATATCGATAGTTATTATGGACATACATACAGGGTGAAATATCAATTTTGCACCAAAAAACTAGTAAAAATTTAAACCATTTTCAACAAACATCGATATACTAGTTCGAATAATAAATTGGACTTAATTTTGCATAGTAATAAATAACATAATACATGCGTATTACTATAAATATTTCTCTTACACAGAAAACAGTTCAAGCTTCTGCTGTACTTCGAAGTAGTTTCTGACAAAGACAATTGTCCATCAGTACGATTTTGTGGAACTTCACAAAACAAAACCCTAATTTCTTCCGTGAAGTTATGACTTTATATCACCGGAAGAGGCAATTCTGCTCTTGTCACGGTGACAGTTCGTGGAGAGATTCATACGATTGATTAATTCAATCCCCACAACTGTGATTGAGTTAACCAATCGTTCAAATTGAAAATGGGATACTTTTTAGAAGAGAATGGTTTTTGAACACAGTGATTTTTGACTTTCTTCTTTTCCATTATCATAATTAACTTCAATGAAAATACTCCATAGATATTTGCTGGTCAGCTACAGAAGTTTCTTTCGAATACAATTGGAAGGAAACAAAAAACCAATAATTTTATATATTTTTCAATGATGGAGAAGTGGAAAGTCAAATAGTATTNTAGTTTGGGTCACTACACCACAAACAAAAACAAAAAAATCCTTCTTAAAATTACTGATATATTTATGTATATTTTTGGCCCCGCCCTTTATTTCATTTATATTAATTTCAAAAAAAAATGCTAAGAAACAAGCAAAAAAATAAGGAAACAACCACAAACAATTCACATATAGTCAGTGGGCATACTTGAAGACTGGCTATAAATCAAATCATCTAAAGGAACAATTCGTTTAGGCCAGTCTCAAGTCCTTACACTGTAGGTTAATGGACTGACAACTATTAGAAAACATCTACTTCCCCGGCTAATATCACGAAGGGCGTTGGATTATATCATCAACACAAAGTCGATGATTTCCGATAATTTAAAATCGAATTCCTTCAGAGTATCACTCCTCGAACTAGGCGGAAGCGCACAACAAACAACAGGTTTGTCATCGCTCTATCTGCCTGTGAACGAGATAACCAACCGCATATCCGAAATTTGGAAGGAATTTGTTGTTGCAGTTGTTATGTAACAAGTGTTGATGTGAGTGTTTTTATGAAAATGGACAAAATCGAGTGTCGAGCTGTCATTAAATATTTGTTTTCGAAAGGCAATACGCCTACGCAAATCAAAGATGAATTGAAGTCTGTGTATGGGGACTCTGCACCATCATTCACACAGTGAAATTTTGGGCAGCTGAATTTAAACGTCGCTGTAGGAGCTTGGGAGAAGGTGAACGTTCGGGACGTACAAAAACTGCAACTACTGACGAAAACATCGACAAAGTTCACTAAATGAGGCAAGACGACCGTGGAATTAAAGTGAGAGAGATAGCAAAGATTAAAGACATGTCAAAAAACGTGTTTGTCACATATGAAATCAACATTTAGGCATGAGAAAGCTGTCCTCACATACAGTCCAAACAGTGGACTGCAAAAGTAAAAGCTGTTTTTTTATCTGGAAAAGTGATGGTCACTGGTCACTGGTCACATAACATAAATTTCGATACTTATTATACGTTTAAGTACTTTCTGACTGTTATTCTGAATGGGGTACGCAGACTGAATAATATATTTTCGACCCTTTCATGATAATGAAATGAATGATGAGGTTGAATTATATTTCAATCAGATTGTTGAAACTTTGTAGCCCGTTTATAGATGAATATATTACATATATCATCAACTGTTGTTTTGAACGTTCATATTTTCCAGACTTGTGGAAAATTGCCGTTGGGAAACCCATTCGCAAAAATAATGATCCAGCTAGTTATTCTGATCTCAGAATTATCAGTATACACCCAACCATAAGTAAAATTTTTTAAAGAGTTATTTATTTACAAATTAATGAATATTTCAATACCAATAATCTGTTATCACCAACGCAATGTGGTTTTAGGCATGGTTATAGTACGGCTACGGCTCTTGCTACTGTCACATAAGACATTGTTGAGGGATTTGATAAGGGAATGATTAGCACTCTGGTACTACTAGATTTTTCGAAAGCATTCGATACCATCAATCATGAGCTGATTTGCATGAAACTCAAATATTATGGTTTTGATAGTGCTGCCTTATTTCTCATCTGGTCTCATTTACTTGGTCGATCTCAAAAAGTTGTTGATGGTAATCACTCCTTACCTCTTGATGTTCTATCAGGAGTACCACAGGGTTCCATTTTGGGACCTTTATTGTTTATCATTTATACTACTGACATTATCTCGTCCATCAAGAAATGTAAAATACAGGCGTATGCTGATAACATATAATTATACATGCACTTCAAAATTGATGAGTATGGTGAGGTACAAAATCTTTTCAACACTGATCTTGATTTGATCAATGGGCTATCAAATGAACATGATTTGAAAATTAATCCTAATAAAACAGTGATGATGCATTTTGGATCACAGAAGAATCGTAAATTTGCAGAAAACAATTTCCATTTAGAACTAGGTCATACTATCTTGACTCCTGTCAATACAGCTAAGAACTTAGGGGTGATACTTGACACTAATCTTAGATTCACTAGTCATGTTAAAAATTTAATGAGAAAAGCTTATATGTCATTGAAACTGTTATACTGTAATCGTTTTATTTTGAGCCAACCTCTAGAAAGAATGATCTGTGATAGTTTGGTGCTAAGCCATTTCAACTACTGTTACTATATGATTCAGATAAAGAAAGAATACAAAAAGTGCAAAATTTTTGTTCCCGCCTAATTTATGGACTTCGTAATTATGATTCATTTTCTGAATCCTTTAAAAACTCCCGCTGGCTCAATATGAAAAACCGTATGTATCATCATTTGGGTTGTTTTGTTCATAAAGTGATTGCTCTTTCCCATTCTCCCCTTTTGATACAAAAACTAATTCTGCGTGAAATTATTCATTCAAGAAATATTAGACACAAAAACAAATTAACTATGGCACAACATCGCACTGCACAGTTTCAGAGATCATTTCATTTTGGTGCTGTAAAAGTCTATAATTCATTGCCCGAGCAATTAAAGAGACTCAATATCAGAAAATTCAAATACAAATATAAAAATTATATCTTTGATAGTCAGTAATGTCAACTTTTGCTCATTGGATATAATAATAAACAAATGATCAATGAAATTTAATTATTTATCAACTCTCTTTATATGTTATCACAAATTATTATTTTTATTTACGTTTCTCATTTCCTGGTACCATCACTGTTAATTGTCTTATTTTTATATGTTCGCGTGCATTTTGGAGTGGTGCTTGTTGGTTGATTTTGAGTAGCTTAGAGCTAGAATTCACCAAGGAGTACCAGAATCTCCTGTAATCTGTTTCATTTTCAAATGCATCTTTGTATTGTTGTTTTTGTAGTATCAATAAAGCCGATTTATTATTATTATTTGGACGGGTTACAGAGATGAGAGCATCGCTGGGCACATTTGAAAGGAGGTTATGTTGAAAAAAAACTGAAAAATGTCTTGTCTTTCTTAGATTGGAAACTTTTCAAACTACCCTCGTAAAACATATATTTGTTTCAGGTATTAAACTTGTAAAACCAAGCTTACTTTTCAGTTGTGATGTTTGAACATCCGTCGGTAGTACTATGTCATACTGAAATGGAAACTTTCCTGTATTTTTCATCTCTATGTTTTGCGATATAGTACTAAAGATCTGCTGGTATCCGAAATATAGATCAGATGTTGGACACAAGGTGAACCTGAAAAACAATTTTCTATTACTCGAGAGGTTTCTGTCAAAAATCCCAAATGGTACATCGACAAATAAACTGCTCCAGTAAATGTTATGATGAACGATTTTATGACATATTCGGGCCTGTCGATCTCCACGAAATTGCAATTGAATACCGGAATATCAGTGAAACTCATCTCCACGGTAGGACTGAAGTTAAAAATCACAGTGGTTGATTTTTGTGCTTGCAGAATTTCATGTTCAGTGTTCAACTTGAAAAATTGTCTGATAAGGTGCAAATCGTTCTGAAGGATATTATCCAATTTCGAGAATCTGGAAAGAGAATGTCCTTATAAAGATTCCGGACAGGTGAAATCAATACTCACACAATGTTAACATTGCATTTTCCCTTATTGACCAAGTGGAACGGAATTTTATAATTGGTTTTCCCCTTCATATTCCCCAAGTCGATATGATTTTGATATTCTATGATGTATTCAAGCGCTTCAGACTGGAGAGCTATGGAATCAACTTGAAGAGGTATTATTTCTGAATGATGTAGATCGAATATCTGTGGAAGAAATCAAATGTATGCTCATTGTACTGTATTTTCGAAGACCTCCATTTTATTAATATTGTTACTGAGGATACACTATAAAAACACACTTTTGCCTATTTCCACGACCGTTTTATATTTGTTGACTAGTTTGGGTCACTACACCATTTTCAAAGCTAACTAGATTACATTCAAAGCTGAGTATTTATACCTACATTGCCTGAACAATTATCGACCCATCACGATTCCAAGTACTATGAGTAAAATAATCGAAAAATGTATTCATAATGAATTGCTTGATTTTTTGTTGAGTAAAAATATTTTGAGCAAGTTTCAGTACGGGTTTTGTCCGAATGGATCGACGTAAGGAGCGACTGCTGCTTTCATGGAACACATTTACAACAATGTTGACAAGGGAAAGTATGTCGGTGTGCTCTTCTTCGATTTATCTAAGGCATTTGACTCTATTAACTTTGATATTCTATCGGAAAAGTTATGTACTATAAGATACAGAAGGGTATACGTTAGATGGAATGGTGTTGATTCGGACATGGTTGACACTTCACTTAGAGTTCCCCAGGGATCCATTTTGGGGCCGCTTATATTTCTGCTATACATTAACGACCTGTCAGAGTATATTGGAACATCTTCGATTGTACTTTATGCTGATGACACATCGATTTCTGCAGCAGCAGATAGTCTTGAAGAGCTCGAAGTGAGGCTGAATTTTATCAGCAGTAATTTTACGACATAGTGTTATGATAATAAGCTTGTCGTAAATGCAGAAAAATCAATATTAATAGAATTTTTTTGTCAAAAAAGATGTATTAATCATATACAGGTTTTAGTCAATAATGTCACAATTCTCCCAAGTGAAACAACCAAATTTTTGGGTGTTCACATTGACACAAATTCATCTTGGAAATTTCATTTAAACCATGTAATTAGAAAACTTAATAGCAGCTTTTATGCACTATTGCAACTGTCAGGTTTTGGATGTAAAATCTTTGATTAACGTGTATTATTCTATGGTTCAATCTACACTGTCATACAATGTCATCAGGAGCGGATCGTGTTTTTATAGCTCAGAAAAGAATTCTTCGCCTAATTTTTAATCGAGATAGAACCAAATCATGTAGGCCCTCATTTGAACAAAATAAAATTTTGACTTTCCCAGCAATCTATATCTATGGTTGTTTAGTCTATACGTGGAAAAATATGAATGACTACGAGTCCAATTCTCAGTGCCATCGATATCCCACAAAATCGGGAAATATAGGACGAAACTGCAGTAACGTTAGTTACAAATAAAAGTGGTAAAAACATAGAAATTTTCATTTCTCTTTTCATTATGATCTCCTACCACGTAGTAATGGCTACATCCATCAATTTACCGTGGTTCAATTCAAGCCTACTGAAACTTAATAAGGAAAGAACACAAAAAATAATTTTCTCGACTAATAATAATATTTCTGTGGGCAAAACTGTCAATTCACTGGAAATCACTGTTACTGTTTTATGTTCAGTTATGATGTTCATCTACATGCTGCACCACCGACTTACTAATGTACCTTTATATACCGTAGTGAAATAAATATCTATCTATCTATCTACCGTGCATATTGTTGTTTTAATATACTTGTATTTGACATCATAATTGTATGATCTAAAAGGAATAATAATTAGAACAGAGTTGCTGCAACAAATATGCTTGCCATTCCAATCTTACTCTACTCGTTTGGAGTAGTGAAGTGGACTCGGGAGGAGCTGTATCAACTCGACGTAAAGACCCGAAAAATGATGCATCTCTATAGGAGTTTGCATCCCAAATTGCCGGACTCCTGGTCAGTGTCAGCAATAAATAGGGTGAGGGGAACTAAAACCCCCCAAAAGCCTTTGCAAAACATGCCACCGTGGACCAGCCTACCCAAGCTAAGGTGTAAGGAATCGTGCCGACAGCTGAATGCCCACAGGGTGATATGCGGTCACGAACGATCCCCTTGGCGAACTGGGCGAAACCTCATTGTAATCAACCTACGTCTGATAATGCGGGGCTCTGCCAGAGGTGACCAACTCTTCCCTTGCTACTCGTGGAAACACATGGATCAAACAACACAAATACAGAAACAACAAAAACAAAAACCAATCCCGAGGCTGGACAGAAGTGCTCGCCTCAATCGAAGGCGGTGGCTGGAGATGAACAGAAATGTCCATCCCAATCCAGATCACCTCCAACAGCACAAGCACTTCCTGCGCTGGGCGCCAAGAGCTCCACCTTGAATAAAGGCGAGGGGAACCGGCTGCCCCTGCAGCTTCCTCAATTGTGCACTTCCACGGAGGGAACCCCAAGAAGGTTGAAGAAGCCGCGCTACGATAGTAATATCGCTGCACTTTCCAAAACATTCGCGGAGGTCACTGTCAGACACCTCAAGGTTGCAAAAGAGAGTGTGTGTTCGGCGAGCCTTGGCCTACACCTGCCAATATAAAGGAGATGTCTCCTAGTGACCTGTCACCTTCCTGAAAAGGACAGGATGGACGATGTCCTAGGAGGAAAACTCCTCGGGAGGAGCCTAAGTGCTGTGAGTATACACTCACCCTCCCTACTCAACAGATACATAGAAAGTTCAATTTCTCATCTTTCATAATTTTCAAACCATCTATGAAATACTTTTTGATAAGTTTACGCTCCCGAATTGTGTTTTCACTTCTACAAGATTGTCACGTGCACCACCAAAATCATGTATTTTCAAGAGATATCTTATAACACTCAAAATTCAGCATAGGCTTGCCGCCTAATACAGTTTTCGATCGAAATTTGCTATATTTCAACCTACCTGGAGTTCCATACTCTTTTTGGGATTGGTTTCTTCTTTCGTTGGTGAATACTCTACGGTGATTTCCTCCACCGAATATAACTTAATCTGTCCATTGGTTTTGGACAACTTGTAAATATCGTGCATCCAATCGGATTTGACTAATTTCCAGTATAAATCGATAGGAGTTGAGTTTCTCATCGTAATCTTTTTCTTTATACAATAATCTGTCGGCACTTTTTCGAAGTTTATGAGCTTTGGACTGACGTGGAACTCCAATGCACAGGAATAGGCTAATAATCTGATCGTTTCAACTTTGGGATTATTTTTAACGGAAATGTACAGCTCTCCACCGATATTTCCTTTTCTGGGTGCTTTCAGAGATAGATTTACGATGACACTTTCGTTTGGTTTTATAATGATATTGTTAGGCTGTATTGAAAATGGAGAATTTTCATTCAACTCCAAGGTGGTGATGCACTGGAGATCAGACGCATTTTGTAGGGTGAGATCGGTTGAATAAGGAAGTGATCTGAAAATAATAATAGTTCAACTAATATACAACGATTCATTTCTCCAACACGTTATTTTTTTAAAGAATATCAGGAAGTTACAAAAATCAAACTCTCCCCTTAATTTTAAATACAATAATAACGAATTAACTTTTCAAGAAGTATTCATGTTTATCGAAGAAGAAAATCAATAATTCGAAACTTTAACATAACTAAGTATGAACAGAATGCAAACAAGATAAATCTGAACTGAAACTAAAGAAAGAACAGATGACTCAATTAGTGTTCGATCGAAAGTTCGGTTTCGGTTTCAGTCGAGTTTTGGTATAAAAACGGGTTTCGGTTTCGGCGGCCGAAACTACGACCGAAACCGAAACTGCATTCGGGAGTTCCCGCGCTGTGATCGGTCATGATGTTTATGAAGTTTTATCGCAGGANCTACTTTTGTAAATATTTTGTATATTTAAAAAAGCACTCCTTAACAATTTTTTTCAGAAGATGCTTTGTCGATAAGAACTTGATTTCTTGTACAATAAAGTATATTTCTCTCTCTCTCTCTCTCTCTCTCTATTTTTCTCTCTCTCTTGGAAAATCTTGTTCTTGTCTCTAGAAATGAGGGAACCATGTAGTACCGTATACAGGGTACAACTTTTTCGTCGCTTATGTTTGCTTCATATCAAGCTTCGTTATCGAGAAAAAAAAATCACTCCTAAAAACTATCAATGGACAACATTAAATAAAAACCAGAAGCAAATAATAAACATTTTCAGCCTTGATGTAAATGAGCAATATGTCCCGCTTGGGCTCGTTGTATATGATATGGGTATAGGTGATTTCTTTTTAGAACTGTCCCTACGGTTTTTGGGCTGACTTTCAGCTGCAATGCAATATTCCTGGTACTATTTGAAGGAACTTCTTTCATCGCATCAAGTACAGCTTCTTCAATTTCAGGCGTTGTTACAGTTTCTGGTCTTCCGCCACCTGCATTAAAACTCCCAGTATCATATAATGTTGCATCTAGCGCTCTAAAGGTTTCAGAACATGGAATTACTCTGTCCTAGTAAATTCATCTTGTTCTTCCGCATTTTCATTTGCAAATCCATAAATAAAGTGCTTGTCAGCCATTTCAGCGTTAGTAAAATTATTCATGATGAAATCACTCCTAATTGACAACTCTGACTTTCACTGATATGACAACACTATCAGCTGGTCTCCAAAGCAAGTGTTCATGATACGCAAAGTAATTTCAATTGTCTTTCACGAAAAGAAGCTAGATATGAAGAAAACACAAGCGACGAAAAAGCTGTATCAATCTAAAATATGTTTTTCGAGTTTGAAAGCCGTGGATTTTTGGAATTTCTTTCGGACGTTCGCTGGCGCGAGTGGTTAGCTCCTTCAGAGTTTTAACCATCATGGCTTGCTGTCCGATGACTAACTTTTAGGCTTCGTAAAGCGTATTTATGCCTTGTCAGATAATCAGTTGTATTTGTACCTGTATTTGTACCTGTACTTGTACCTGCACTTGTACATGTACTCGTACCTACACTTGAACCTGGAACATTAACAATCTTGCTGCCTGTTGTCCTGTTCGTTATTTTAGAATTCCTTAAAATGGGGTTCCATATTCGATTGAGGTTCACAGCTTCTTCTTTTCTGTCGAAATTCTCCGTGTGTTTGTGGATCTCTATTGCCTCCCGTACCAGTATAGTACAGTATAGTATTCCTGGTTAGGGGCAATCAGTTCTGTGTTTTCAAACAAAATTATGTGGTCTCCTTCACTAAGCGCGTGTTTTGCCACAGCTGACGTGTCCGCTTGGCCTAGTCTGCAGTTCCTTTTATGTCCTTCCAGTCTTGTTCCCATGGATCGTTTGGTGGTTCCGATATATACCTTACCACAAGTGCACGGTATGCGATAGACCCCTGCTGCTGATAATGGGTCTCTTTTGTCTTTAGCTGACCTGTGGCTTTGTTGTATCTTCCTCGTGGGTTTGAAGACTGTTTCGATGTCGTGTTTATCCAATTCTGTCCGTGATCCTAGGGATAAACGGTGGATATGCGCGATATATGATCCTTTTTCGCTTTTTGAACAGTGGTGCTTTTCGGTTTCATAGCTTTCCTGATCTCGGAGGCACTGTATCCATTCGATCTCAAGATCACTTCGAAGTATTTCAGTTTCCTCTCCAGATGTTCTGGTTCACATATTCTCCGAGCCCATTCCGTTAGAGTGGAGATGACTCATCTCTTTTGGCTAGGATGGTGGTTCGATAGTGCGTGCAAGTATCTATACGTGTGTGTCGGATTCCGATCCACTTTGTGGGTTAGTCTGGTACCACATCGTTCTACTAGTACATCTAGGAAAGCTATCCGTTGGTCCTGCTCAACATCCATGGTGAATTTTATGCTAGGGGGTTCAAGTGGTTTAGGAAACGGTTCAGGGCGTCTCTTCCATGTTTCCAGATGACGAAGGTGTCATCCACGTAACGTAGCCACAAGGTCGGCAGGGATACTATAGCCGACTGGTACGGGAGGCAATAGAGATCCACAAACACACGGAGAATTTCAACAGAAAAGAAGAAAAGGTGAACCTCAAGCGAATATGGAACCCCATTTTAAGGAATTCGAGAATAACGAACAGAATGTTCCAGGTTCAAGTACAGGTACAAGTGCAGGTACAGACCCCAAACGACCTAACAAATCACCCTCTGAAGTTTCGTACCGTACTTAGGAAACATTTGATATTTCTGGGGATGAATACTATTAAAATGGTATTCAACGAATATATTGTTCAGTACAGTCGTTCAAAACACGTATCTTAATATAAGTGAAATGTTCTACTTACTTATTGGTTCCTACAATAATAGAGCCAATATCAAAAACATCCTCCTCTTTGAAATAAGTAAATCTGTCGCCAAGAATTTTTTCTTTATAGCTATTGCAGCAATTTGGAAACACAATCTCCGGTGTGAAATTTAGAGTTGGCAGCTCGCATAAAGCTTTGCAGTGGATCGACTGAGTTGAATCCATTCCGAATATTGTCAATGCATAGACGTTGCTGTATCTTCCACAAGAAGTTGGTGAGAATGTCACTTGATATTTCATAATCTCGCCTGGTTGCAGAATATTCCTTGGTAGAAGAGGGGTAGGAGGGGAATCTGTAGAAATGAAAAGAAAACTTTGTCCATTTCAAATAATCCAAAAACCAGAACTACAACACTCTTCTCGACGAGCGTTTAAATAATCATCATTTATGGTAACGGTACATTTGTGAATATTTTTTCAACTATACTACATGATTATTATATTTTCTATTGAAATTCTCATTCCTTGAAACTTATCGAAATATACTCAGAAATGAAATTTTAACAATATACCTTTCGTTGAGGAACTGAGTGATGCACGATCACTCTTTCGATCTGCACTAATACTATACTTTCTTTTTGTAAGTTTTTTCTTCGAATTGGTACCAGATGTAGAATACACCTGCAAAAAAAAAAATTTATCAGCGCCCTGGTTCAATATCGTTCGATTTCCTGAAACAATAATTTCTACCTAACTGATTTGTTTAAAATATGGTTTGTCCTCCAGCTATCTGTCACCTCCTGACGAGCAACAACGCTCAGAAGTCAAAACTGAGGATTAACGAGGTCTCACCTTTTAACAGACGATTTCTAGTACAATTCTCATTTCAGCCTTCAATTAAATCTTTTCAATAGTATTTTCGTGATTCTTCTGTAATGAAGGCCTCACAGGCCTGATGTGAATGTATAAAAGCTATAGTATCAAAAAATAGGAAATTCACTCTATCAAAATAGAGAAAAATGACATTTAGAGCTCAAGTTATCTTCATTATCTACCGATCTTTAAGTTACCAGTTTTCAGTATCGGTCCGTTGGGCCAGATTGGCCCCCGGAAGAAGAAAGCAGAAACTTTTTTAATTTCGATTTGCATTTTGTTCTCCGATTCATTTCTTGTTTCTCTGGAAAATTATCATATATTTCAACGCCCAAATGAAATATTGATTTCTCCCCAAATTTTGAGCGATATGATTTGACTAGCAGTTGTTTTGGATTGAATATCTAAAAGATCACGTAGCATATAGGTTCAAAACATAGTACCTAGTTTGAATATACATTCTATTGTTGTATTTTGCAGTCTCCTGGGAGGATTCCCTGTTCCCTAAATTCGAATTGAATATTGTAGATTTGAATATACCAAACAGAAATATGTGTATTCAGGATATTTCAAAGGAATGAAATTTGTAGCTCTGTAATTTTGCTGGTAAAAGTCAACTTTTCATAATTTAAACTCAATTTATAATAATTAAAGCTGCCTATTTTATATTCAATAGGTATCCGATTATATGAGTAGGCAATATGGCAAGTGAAAGATTCGTGAAATAGAGAAATTTTATTGGTATTGTTAAATATGTCCTGAATCTCAAGTTAAGATGGTGTATGTCAGTTCCAAAGGATATTTTCAAAGAACTGTCACTCCTCAAAATTCCTGGATCATACATCATATCTGCATATTTGGCATGTGAATTTTTGTCACTACTAACATTGATATATTAACAATTTTAATTTTGGCATTAGTGATTTTCTAACAATTTGTTGAATATATCAGAATATCAAGTAGAGTGGAGCGTGTTTCTAACCAGACTGGCTTTATTTGTGTAAAAATTTGGCATGTGTCAAATTTTGATATGAATCTAGGAAATATCTCATTGCATTTTTGATATAGTTCAATGTTCCACTTCTCTCATAGCTTCTGTATGTTCAGAACTTAGAATTTCTCAATTCTGCATTATAGTAAAAAAATTCCTTGGTTATATGATAACCCAAAGCAGCTATGAATTGTTGCATGTCAAATTGAAACGGTACAGTTTCCATGTTGAATACGCGATGTCGATGACAAGCGCACAACATCTACGTAGGCCATGAAAACGTTTGCCGGCTTTTTTCTCATTATTTACCTAGGTGTTTTTTTATTACCATTATTTACCTAGGGTGAGAAATATTAATTCTCGTTAGGGGAAGGGAGTAAATAATAGCAATTTCTCAGGTTAGTGGTGAAAAAAATATCTTACGGTACATTATCTGCATATAACCCCATTGTATAGGCAGCGACGACAAGATAGCTCTCAGGGAGCAAGAATTCTTGTATAATCACGAATTGAAACATTATTCAATATTATAGAACATACAAATCATTCAACAGAATTTATCAAAAAAGAGAAAAAAACACCTCAAAAGTGCTGCTTCGTTCTCTTCTGTTCATGAAAGAGATCGAATGCCTCCTCACTCACAAGCGAATTAAGTGAAATTGGGGACACATGTGAATCGTTATATTCATGCCATGTTCTACTATATGGGTGTCTGAAAAATACTGTGTAATGCCCGTTATAAGTAGTCCCACTGTGATTCGCAAGTGCATATGGATTATAACGACAAGGGGCCATATTGTCTTCTGCATAATTGCTCATACCTAATGCTTCTGAAGAAAAGCCGATGACGACAACATTCAATTTGTCTCTGAATCTTTCCGTTGGAGAGAATCTTTTTAGATGAATTACTGAAATACGGGGAAATTTATGGATCGATAGGGACTTTGTGCATTCTCTTTTTTCCTTGCACCTCGGAAACGTTGGTTTTTCATTTCCATCCAGAGTTTCCTCTGTTGTGAAGGAATCCAAACATTGTGACAAACTCAATTGGTCAGTTCTTTGTGGTATGGGGAGAGACAAATCCCAGAAAAAATCCAAGGTTACTGAAGTGGGTCCACAGTGTGTGCACTTCATAGTGGATTTTAATTGACCAACGAAATTGTCTACAATTTTAGAGTTGTTCATATTTAAATATCTCAGCCAGGACTCTTGTGCTTTTCCGCTGTCACTCAAATTTTCGTCAATCTCCGTTAAGATGTGCTTAGGTTTCTCAGTAATTCTATTGAAGTCCTCATGTAAACCTTCTGGAAGATATCGAAGGAATTCCTGGGCATCTTGATAGGCAGATCCCAAGAATCGACGGTCAAATTTTTGGATCTGACTTTTCAAGTACGCAGTGTTTATTACTCTATCAGATGAATCTTCTAACCATAATTCCTTAATAACTTCTGCAAACGCTTTGATTAAAGCACCTTTTATAAAAGAAATACTAGTATTGATATCTTCCATGTATGTATCATTTTTTAAATATTCCAGCAACCATCAGCAACATTGGATTACACTGTTCACGAAACAGGTGTTTTCAGTATTTTTCAACCTATTGAACCCAAGAGTTCTGACTGAAGAATGTATCACTGAACTAATGGTGTAACTGTTCATTCTACGTTTGCCACTGCTGTCTTCTTCTGAGTAATCACGGATTGGATGATTCACCATTTCATTGGATCGGTGAGATAAGGAATTCGAAAGCTGAACTGTCCAAAACTGAATTGGATATGGCAGACGTATTGAACTTGGTAGAAAAAGATAATTCTAGAACTTGATCGTATTTCTCATTATCTTGTGATTACACAAAACCTTTGTAAATTGTAGCCTATGTTATTCTGATGTATAAGCTGTATTTATGTACGACACTAAACAACCTCGTTGAGAAAATCACCAAATCTCTTGACAACGAGGAGATTGCGGTTGCTGTATTTCTTGATATTGAAGTAGCATTTGACAACGCACTACCTAAATCTATAGGATTGTCTCTGGCTAGAAAGGGTATAGAATAGACCATAACTGGCTGGGTCTATGCCATGCTAGTAAACAGAACTGCAACTACGACTCTTCAATACGAGGCTTTCAGGGTCACCAGGGGCTGCCCTCAAGGTGGGGTACTATCTCCGCTTCTGTGGTCGCTCCTGGTGGATAGTCTGCTTGATGCCCTCGACAGAAGATGAGTTGATCTGCAAGCTTATGCAGATGACCTTGTCATCCTGGCAAGGTCCACGTCGGGAAGGGTAGCGCGTTGGACGTTGTTCACAGTTTGTGCTTGAGAGAGCAGATGTCTGTCAACCCCAGCAAAACTGTGTTGATCCCCTTCACCAAGAGAAGGAAATTGGACGATCTAACGCCACTTCCCCTCAATGGTGTGGTCATTCCATTTGGAAGGGAGGTGAATATCTTGGCATTGTCCTTGATAAAAGACTTAACTGGAACGCTCATTTGAATGAAGTTTTACACAAAGCCAGACTGTCTCTATGGACATGTCGAAGAAGTTGTGGTAAAACTTGGGGTTTAGGTCCCAAACAAATCCATTGGAATTATGTGGTGATTGTCAGACCAATGATCACTTATGGTGCAATTGCCTGGTGTCCGAAGGCTTTACAGAAAACGGGCCAAGCGAAGCTCTCTGCGAACCTTGTTTGGCTATCAGTGGTGCCATCAGTACCACACCGTCAGCGGCATGGATATCCTTCTAGATCTACCTCCTCTCCACATTTTTCTGGAAAGAGAGGCTAGATGGAATGCATACAGACTTGTCCACATTGCCAATTGCACAAATCAATTCAATGCAGAGTGCAACAGACTGTTGGTTGACATTGGAAGTCACAGCATTCTGGAAATGACCTCTGACCTTATGCCTCCAACTGTCAACTACGAACTGCCTTATTGAGTACTATTCCCGAGTAGAAAGGACTGGATCCTCCGGGAGAAGGAAATATTAAGAGCAGATAGTTGTTGGTTCACAGATGGATCAAAAACACTTTCCGGTTCTGGTGCAGGTGTTTTCAGTCGCAGACCCTGCCTAGGAACTTATGCGACTGTATTTCAAGCGGAAATTTACGCTATTGAATTGTGTGCGGAGAGATTGGATAAATCCAACCTCATTCACAAGTCAATAAAAATATTCTCGGACAGTCAAGCGGCGTTGGAAGCTCTTGATGACTCCTACCGAGCAACGTCTAAATTGGTAGCAAACTGCCAAAAAAGACTCTCCTCGATAGGAAGACTAAACAGATTGTCTCTGGTCTGGATTCCTGGCCATACTGGCCTGGAAGGCAATAAAGCTGCTGACTCTTTTGCAAAGGAGGGTGCTGCAAGCGGCTTCATTGGACCAGAACCTGTCATTGGCAACGCTTTGGGATTTGCCAAACAAACACTGAACACCTGGATGGCAAGAAGAGTTATGGACTTCTGGCAGAATCTTCCAGGATTGGCTCACTCCAAGGCGTTTATTCATCCTTCGAAGCTTTATTGCAAACTGTTGTTGGACTACAGTAGGGTTGAACTACGATGTCTTACAGACCTTCTTACAGGTCACTGTCATTTGAATCATCACATGTAGAGACTTGGACTGTCGGAAGACAGTGTGTGTCGCCTCTGTCTGAAAAATGATGAAACAGCAGAGCATATATGTTGTGCCTGCCCCGCTAGGGACCGAATCAGGTTCTTTGAGTTCGGCAGATTCGTACTCTCACCATCTGACCTGAAAGACCACTCACCATACAAACTAATCGGCTTCGTTAAGAAGCTGGGTTTATTTGGCCGAGTGTGAATAGGTGTGAGCCACAATAAACACTCACGGATTGCGGTGGAGGGTCGAATAGACCCACTCACTTCAGAACTACCTGTATTTATGTAAATTTTCATCTGAATCCGTTCAGTCGTTTAGGCGTGAAAGAACCACAAACATACATACATACATACATGCACTTATCCATCCTCACAAACTTTTACATTTATATTAGTACCAATAGATAAGAATTGAAACCATAGACATTTTTCAATTAACAACATGTGAACAATGTGAACTGTCAAACAATTGCCCTCAAAATCTGAAAAATCGTCAAAGATCCACATTTGTTTATTGAGCGCTTCCTCTGATTGAACATGAAGGAAGATTGTTTTGTAAGTTTTCACTTGTAGAACAAAATGATACTGTAGTAGGTGAATTTCATTAGTTCGGACTTCCATTGTATAATCTAATATATAAAAATGGATATTTGTTGGTTAGTTGGTTGGTTGGTTGGTAAGTGATAAACTTCTACATCGCTGAACCGATCGTGATGAAACTTGACATGTATTAGTAATTTTTCATAGAGAAGGTTTTTAGGCTATCAATTTTTCTGTAACTCACCACTAGATGGTGCTTTAGAACAATTTTTGAGAGCACTGTTCTATAACGCTGCGCACGCCTAAGTTCGTTGTTTCTGATTCTGTCAAAACATTGGAACAGCAGCGATACAGCAACATAGTACTGATTAGTACTACACCTACCAAATTCTACACGAGCGAAGCCGCGGGCAACAACTAGTATGATATAAAATGATTTGAAATCTCTGAAAGAATCAATAAAATCAAAAAGAATTTCAATTCTGATTTTATTGATAGTTTCAGGAATTTCAAATTATTTTATATCATATTGGACAATGGAAGTCCAAACTAATGGAATTCAAAAAGAAACATTGTCAATCACCTTCAAACAAACTATAGTATACATTTATATCGTCTACTTTATTGATGACGCGTGTGTATTCTTTCATCGTCCCAACTGTAAGCATCTCACACTCACCTGGGAATCTGACTTCACAATTTCAACGCTAGCATGACATATTTTAAATTGGTCCTTTTGAATATGTTTCTTCCTTTTACTTTTTTTGTATATGGAAAACGTGGAACATGATTCAGTGCTTTCAACTTCGATACCTCGATTCAATTCTTGAATGGCACTGTCGAGTTCCGAATTATTCTTCAGCAAACAACTTAACATCTCCGTATCTATATATCTGTCGTCAGAGCATCGAACGAATATCCAAAGGGGAACACCTTCGACAAATTCAAATAATAATTTCCATTTCATGAAAAATGTGAAATGATACCTACCAAAAGAATCCCCGTCTGAACTTTTCAAATTACTCGAGCTGGTCGATTTTCCTTTGTTTCTGGTGGAAGCTTTCGAGTCTTTTGCAGAATCTCTCGTTGAACTTTTTGTATCTACTTTGGTACTTCCATCTGCTTTGGAATTGGGTGGCTATAACAATGGACGTCAGTTGAAGAAATGGGAGGTCCAAATATAGCTACTCAAACCGAGCATTTCATTCCCGTTTTTAGACATGATGGTTAAGTAGAACTTACTAATACATGTTTATTTATTTATTTATTCCATACACTATTCTACAGGATGAACCCAATTACAGAATAGGGAGAAACAGCATTTACAAATATGTACTTACATACTATAATTTGTGAATCTATATAAAAAATAATAATTAAAAACAGAACTGTCAGTTACCTGTCTTTTGATTTGTATAATCTGGCAGTTGAATGCATCTACAATGTGCGAGGTATCGCACATTGTAGCACATTGTATTGGGAGGTTCATATGGATAGAATAAGATAGAATAGAATAGTTCATTGGCTACGTGATACATTTGAACAATAAAGAAATTTATAAAAGGTCATTTACCTACCAGATATCTCTTCACGAGTTATATTTATATGCTGGTGTATCTATAGTTAGAAAATTGTTATTTATTTTCGTTCTGGTTTGTGTGGAAGAATTGGTTTCAAGACCTAATATAATCCATTTAGTCACCTCATTATGTGATCTGAATAATATTTTATGTTATGGTAAATAATAAATCATTTTTATTATTAAATATTTGTAGCAAGTCAAAACAAAAAATTATAAATATATCGTCATACATACAAATAATATACAAATATCACAATACTTTTTAAACAGAACAATGTTCACAATAACAAATACAATAAAACATCAAACAACTAATGTTGAAAATAAGAACAATCGTTACTCGAAGTCACACGAATTATCTATGTTGTATAACATATATTCATCTGTGGAATAAAAACAGTGATCAAGAAACATGACTTCAGCTTCTGCTTAAAACGACAGAAACTGAGTTGTTTTGTGTGACATGTTGATTTATTATAAAATTTCAAATTCAATGAATTTTTCTGTGGGGTGTTCAGTCTGAATCTCTCAGTTCTTACCAGATTTCCTGATCTCGTTGGATATTCATGTTGTTGCAAGGCGAAAGGAAGCGGCATAATTTTAAGATGATTAAAAAGTGGGCGAAAATAATCTCTAAAGTTGGTATTAGATATCAGACGTATATCTCTTTTTTGCAATACATATTTTTCTTTTGGAATGACAAGAATCCCACCACAACACTATGCCGTATACCATGTGACTATGGAAGAGTCCGAAGTAAAAAGATTTGACCATTCTGATACCGTCGAATTCCTTTAGTCTACGAATCATAAATATTACACTTGATAATTTTTTGTCCAGTGTGTCAACATGACTTCAATCTGTCGTTTATATTGGTATCCATATAAGTAGCTCAACACATTTACCCGAGGTTAAATTTGTATTTGTGTAAATAATGAGATTTTGGTTTTTCAAAGATGCATTGAGCATAAGATAAATAGTTCTCACAATAAATCAAAAACCATGTGGCAAACTATAAATAATATCCAGAAAAAAACTATAAGCCCAAAGATATTTCCATTTTAAGTGGAGAACATAAGGTGTCATGTATTGACATGGCTAACAATTTTATTGCTCATTTCACGAAAGCGGAAGAATAAAGAGAATATGACCTAAATTTTATGGAAAATATAGTCACACTCTGCCCAAACTCCATATTTCTCCACTCAATCAAGGAATATGAGGTTTTTGATTTAATAAATGAATTGAAGAATTGTAATGCTAGTGGATATGATCAGGTCTCAAACAATCTTCTGAAAAAATGCATGGAAGAAATAGTCTTCTTTCTGACCTATCTGATAAATCTGTCTATGGAACGAGGAATGTTCCCTGAGAAATTAAAAGTTGCAATCTTCACCCCAATCTTTAAAAATGGAGACTCAAATAGCTAAGAGAACTATAGAGGAGTAAGTCTTCTCTCTAGTATATCCAAGTTATACGAAATGAATATTAAAAATCAGTTACTATCGTTTCTTCTCAAAAATTAATTACTTTCGACACACCAGCATGGTTTCATGCAAAATAAAAGCACGGAAACAGCTTTGTTTCGATTTTTCTAGAGCAGTTAACTGTGTGGATCACTATGTACTAATTCAGAAAATGTATCGCTATGGGATTCGTGGAGTTGCCCAAGANTGACACATTTGATTCCACCAAAAGTGGTACACCTCGACCTCGACTGTTTAAGAACTCTTTCATTTGAAGAACTGCGCTTATGTGGAATAAACTTCCTGAGAACGTTTCTCCAAACGAATTTAATCACCAGCGATTCAAATCCAACGTAAATCGCTACTTTCGCACAGGCTCTTAGAGTGCCTTATGGATTTTTCTGTAGTGTTTGTGTTTTGTCCTTTAAAAACTCACCTTCATTGGGAATAAGGATCGTCTATCCCAGAATTGGCATTTAGATACAATATCATCCAGGAATTCACGAAATTCTTCGAAGCGTTCTTTCACATTTTTGGGTAAATTTTTCAGTATTTCTGGAAAAACATAAGTAACATGAAATGCTCTCTGAACAGTTGAATTATTTTCAACTTACGTTTCGTTTTATCGGTATTTGATTTAGTACTTCCTTTATCAGACTCTGGAATGAAAAAACGATGAAAGATTATTTTCAAAGGAATCGACATGAAAATACTAGCAGAAGAGATTGAACTGTCTTTTTTTAATACAACCTATATGTAAATTTTCAGTATTACCCTTAGGTGATTGTCTATTACTTCTGTTAGTTTCAGTTTTCTTGGTACGGTCTTCAACTGATAGTCTACGAGCCTCATCTATCATGTAATCTTCTAATGTATACGATAATATAACAATCTGGATGTATTTAGCACAACCGATCGCACGAAGCAAGCAATCTAAAGCGACATCTATTTTCGGTATAAATTCGCTATGCAAACTCTCTATTATAATTCCTTCTTCGGCGCTCTCAAATTTTTTCTTCAATAATGCCCAGATCAATTCTAACGAAATATTTCCCGGATCTTTTCCCTCAGCTTTATTCATAGTTTTCTTTTCGGAATTTTTCTCGTGCTTTTGGCTCTTTTCAGAAATCTTCTTGGATTTAGATTTCTTCAAACGGACGGTAGCCATCAAAAATATTTTTTTGGCTAAATATTCATATTCATCTGAAATATAAAAAATTGATGACTATTTGTATGAAACATAAAAACACGTAATATATGATTGAGGTTCAGTTACGGGAGTATTATTTTTCAAGTTTCAGTTCTGATTATTTTTTTATTACATGCTTTATATTAGCTTCACCTGTATGTATGTTTGTTTGTTTGTAACTCTCAAGTTCGGGATATGTATTTGACAGAATTATCGACATTATTCCTTGATCTATTCGCGGGCAGATGGCGCTGTACACGCGCGCCTGCTGCCTTATTTGTAACCTTCCTTTGCGCGCCTGCTGCCTTGGGCTTGGTAGCTGATTTTCAGGCTCCCTCTCCGGAATCAAAAAATATCAACGATCATTTTGATCCCAAAATTTAGATAAAATAAATATAGTTTAAAAAGGCTGAAAATCACGCTTTTATAGCATACGAAACTAAATTAATCAGTTTAAAGAACTAAAAAATTCGCTTTTGAAGAACATCGAACTGAAAAGTTAAAAATATGTTTTCTTCAAATAAGTGTAAAACAGTAACGAACGAAAAATACTAGTATTATTGTGAAAAAAGCGGGGGCGCTGTGTGCCATATTTTTTGTATAATGAGCCCCCGTCGCCTTTTTCACAATAATACTAGTATTTTCCATTCGTTATTGTTTTAAGCTCATTTAAAAAAAATATTTTCAACTTTTTAGTTCAATGTTCTTTAAAAAAGCGTTTTTTTTAAGTTTTTAAAACTATATTTATTGGTGTTCTGTTCGTACTTAGTTATGTTATAATTAGTTTTTGAATTATTGTTTTTCCCTTGCTATAAACATTGTATGTATCTTGGGAAATAAAATTTTATCATTTTTTTTCACCGTAGTGTGCGCTGTGCGCATATATACCCATCACGCGACTGCGGTAGACAAAGCTGTTGAAGATACCATCCTGGCAAGTCATGATGAAGCCCTCAGTTTCCGACTTCAATCCACTCGACCTGAGGAAAGCGAAACTCAGGCGCTTTAATAAGCCAAGGTTATTTTTTCGCCGTAGTGTGCGCTGGTCAGGCCCTATCCCCCGAAGCCCCGATACATTCGGGAGGCCGCGCCAGCATTATCAACCAATGACGTCTTAGATTATTATTATTATTATTTTACCGAAGTATGCGCTGGTCAGGCCATATCACCCGAAGTCCCGATACATTTGGGAGGGCGCGCCAGCATTATCAACCAACGACCACTCCCCACACCGTGGGGTAAGTGATCATTGGGCTCGAGAATCATGTGCAAGCGCAGTGAGCTAAGAATGACAGCCTTCTGCATCTGTCCAGCTAAGATTTCTGCCTTATTAGTGCGGCAAGCCGGTATGATTTTAAGATTCGAGAGTAAAGAGGCCATCATTCCCCCAAGGACTCCAATAATCAAAACAACCATCTTGACAGAGTAGTCTGGATAGAGTCTGCGGAGTTCGAAGAGAAAGTCTCGATATTTTATCCGTTTTTCCTTCCTTTTTTTGGACGATATTCGTCTCGCCAGGAACTGAAAACTCCACGACAAATATCGTCTTCCACTGGTGGTCAAGAAGGACTACTTCAGGCTTATTAGCTTGTATGAGCCTGATGGTGAGGCACGAATAGTTCCAATAAATTCGGCACTTCTCGTTCCCCACAGCGGTTTTAATATCCCCCAGAGTGTAGGCAACTTTGGGGTTTCGTCAATACCGTAAGAGTGTCGTAAATGGTAATATAGCACTCCCAGGGCCACATTATGTCGATGGATATATGCCGAGACCGCATCTGTTAGACATGTTGATAGCAAGTGTGTCAGAAACATATATACCCATCACGCGACTGCGGTAGACAAAGGTGTTGAAGATACCATCCTGCCAAGTCATGATGAAGCCCTCAGTTTCCGACTCGACCTGAGGAAAGCGAAACTCAGGCGCTTTGATGAGCCAAAGTTATTTTTTCGCCGTAGTGTGCGCTGGTCATGCCCTATCCCCCGAAACCCCGATACATTCGGGAGGGCGCGCCAGCATATCATTATTATTATTATTATTATTATCTCACCTTCTTCAGGAAGTGCTTCAAATTGGACTTTATTGAATTTCAATTTTTGTTCAATAATGTTATTTATTTCCATGGCTGGCTCAGTCTCGTTTTTAACCAACTCGTCGTATATGAGACCATCAATGCTGAATACTTTTAGAGACAGTGCTCTTCCAGCTCTGTTTGCAGCTTTATAATAACCTAAAAAATACAAGTGATGTAAATGGCAAATAGTTGAAGAAACTCTGTAACGTATTCAAGTAACACTTTATAAAAAGATTTTCATTGAACAGTTTAGGGAACCACAATACAGTTTTCGCTATACAATAGCATATGTATACGCCTGATGAAGCTATTGCATAGCGAAATATGTATTGCGGTTTTGTAAACTGTTAAATATCTTTTAATCTGTCGAAATCTGTTAAAATCTGTTTCTTCGTCAACCAACTGTCGCCCCCAACGAAGGTCATTCCTCAAAAGTCGAACTATCTTTTCGTTGTTTCGAAAGTATTCTTTCTTTCGTGTGATTCAATGTTTATATGAAAAAAGTTGTTTCGAGAGGGCTTTTTCTCCCAGTTTGTGTCTGGAAGTTACTTCTTCGCACGATCTACACATCTTTGTACAGAGTTAAAGTTGAAATTGATTGCTTTCTTCTTCTCTTAAAAAGATTCACACTTTTTTGTATAAAGATGGAGATAGAGAGCCAAAACTTTTTTATCCCAACACTTACTATAAAAAATAATAGTTGATCAAAATTTCAAACTGAATTTCACTGCATTTCTGTAGATAATAAAGATATGACGGAGTTGAAGTATTTGTGAAAAAAGGGATTGAATAGTCAATTTTCAAAGATATTTAAACTAATGAATACAAATCAACCTTAAAAATGGAGCTCTGTTCGTACTTAATTATGTTACAGTTAGTTCATGAATTATTGCTTTTTTCCCTGCAATAAACATTGTATGTTCTTTGGGAAATAAATCGTTACCGTAGTATGCGCTGGTCAGGCCCTATCCCACGAAGCCCCGATACAGGGCGCGCCAGCATTATCAACCAATGACCACTCCCCTCACCGTGGAGTAAGTGATCATTGGGTCCGAGAATCATGTGCCCTGAGCAAGAGCAGTGAGTCAAGAATGACAGCCTTCTGCATCTGTCCGGATAAGATTTCTGCCTTACTGCGGCAAGCCGGTATGATTTTAAGAATTGAGAGTAGAGAGGGCATATATTTTTCAAATAAAAATTGTGGAGATCAAATCGTGAGGTGAAGTTTTTGAAATAAAAAAAAATATATCACCCATTCATCTTTCAATTATTTTCCACCTGCACAAAAGGAAGAATTGGGGGTTCCCATTCCCTACTGGTATATGTGAACTTGTCAACACTTGCCGAATGTATTTAAGACAAAATTCTTTTCCCGATTATAACTTGCTCCTGATAAAAGTTGGTTGTGGACAGTTACCATCTCTCTTTATCGTTAGCGCATCTCAAAGGCACAGTTGAATTTGCCAAACGGTAACAGACGTCAAAAAAGCGATGAAACTTTTTTTATGATCTCTCGTCAAATATGCCGGAATGAATATGAATTACCTGTATTTGGTGCTCCATGAAAAATTATGAAGACGCCATTTCTTGTTTGTGGTTGTTCGAAAATATTGGGTTTTTCAGGCTCCACTATAGCCATTCTTGCGTTTGAATCGTCTTCGACTATGTAGAAATCTGTTTCGATGTCGTCTATTGCAAAATTTGTATTTTTCAGAAAACCTGTAATTTGATCCGTGATGATGAAAAAGTTTTAACAACGAAGTTGACGAAGTTTCATGATGAATTTCATTAGTTCCGACTTCCATTGTCTGATATTATATAAAATGATTTGAAATCCCTTTTGTTAAGAGGTAGTATGTGGTCCTCAAATTTCAAATTATTATCAATTAATAACCCAAGAAAGTTGTTGCATGACGTGTTCTCAATCACATTCGAATTCGAAGCTATAGGAATATTATCAAGAATGCAATTGAAGGATAAAACTTTGGTTTTTGAGACATTAAAAGCTGATAAATTTGCCTTACACCAATCTGAAAATTTGAAAATATCAGAGCAAATGGCATTATATAGATCAATTGTGATGGTATTGCGCCATAATATTGTAGTGTCGTCAGCGAATAAAGTAAATTTACCCTCTATATCAATGGTAGTCAAGTCATTGATATAGAAATAGGATAGGTCCGAGTACTGAGCCTTGTGGTACTCCGTTAGATATGTCAGAAATATCAGATATTATTGTATATTCAATCCTTTGACTTATACCCGATAGATGATATGCAAACCATTTATGGGTAATACCCTCAATACTATAGAGATAAAGTTTCCTGAGCAGAATCTCGTTATTAACACAGTCAAATGCTTTAGAGAAATCGCAAAAGACTGCTGCTGTAATCTCCCGTCTATTAATGTTACTATACACTTCATATAAAAATGAAAATATGGCATCATGAGTATTTTTGTTTGACTGAAATCCAAATTGTTTGAAGCTTATTATATTACCGAAGTTTAAATGTTCTGCTAAACGTATTTTTACCTGAAATGAAATAACAGTGAAATAAAATACAAGTAAAAATAGAACAATTGAATAAAAGTTAGAAATAAAAATTTAAGAGATTCCACGCCAAGTTAGTTCACGACGTTTCGATTGTTAGTATCTTCTTTGTAATTTCAGTTTATTGTTTAACAAAATTGTTATTTTTTTGGTTAATCCTTTTAATTTATTTCAGGGATTTCAAATCAATTTATATTATATTAGACAATGGAAGTCCGAACTGATGAAATACACTACGAAACATTGTCAACCACCTTCAAACATGTATGCCACTTCTTTGAATTTCCTCCTAAACCAATGTTCTTCGCTGTGTATGATCTCAGCTTGGGACCACTAGATGTTATTACCTAGGAGGACAACTCCTTGGGAGGATGTACAATGGGTCACATGTGGCCTAAGTGCGTGGGCTTACACTCACCCTCCCTACTCTACAGATACAGATACAGATTCTTTCATTTCATGAGGGATCAAGCTATATAATTTGGGTCCCAACTAGACATAACTTCTTTGTAGGATGTTTTTTCCTGATCTTGATATAACAGAAGAATTGATTTTGTGACGTGTACTGTTGTTATGATTTATGGCTATCAGTGTATTTCTGTGAGTATGCTGTCGCATTACTGCTGATAGAAAATATAGTTGTCGAAGATCAAATAACTGCGTTTCGCGGTACAAGTCATTAGTGGGGTAAGTGTATGGTTTCTTAAGTATTATTTTGATGATCCACTTTTGTATTTTTTCCAGTTGTTTGGTATAATTATTTGTTGCCGCTCCCCAGGCTAATATTCCATAATTCAAGTGTGGTTCAACTAGGGCATAATATAATATCCGAAGCTGATCAGTTTTCATAATATTCGATAGGTATTTGAATGGGTATGAACACGCTCTGCTATTCCTGATTTGCTGGTTTTATCCTCGATGTGTGTGTTTCTTGTGCTCGGCAACAATAGCCTCTTAGTTTCACCGATATAGGATTTTCCGGACTAACAGGGTATCCGACAAATGCAATTCTTGGAATTGCAGTTCGCGTTTGGTGGCCTGGTTTTTGTGAGGCTGCTACAAACAGTGTTTCCGAATCTGAAGCAGGTTCTGATGTTGTACTTGGACCCAATTCTTCTTATTAATTCCGATAATCCTCTGATGTAGGAAAGTGCTAGCACTGGTTGTGAAGGCTTCTCTTCCTTTCGAGGCTCCTGCTGTATTTTAGCCAAAGTCTGTTCCACCATCGCTTCGGAGTAGCCATTCCGTTGAAGATCATTCTTGATGATGTCTTGTTCCTTCTCGAGACCTTCCTTCGTATTACAGAGCTCGAGAGCAGGGTCTAATAGAGTCTTGATGATTCCTCTTTTAGTCCATTGATGGTGGTTGGATTCGTGGTTCAGATACTTTCCCGTGTGAGTGGGTTTCCCACTTAGTGGAAGTTCGAACTAAGGAAATTCATTCAGTTTACTATTAGGTTGTTTCAAAAGTTCGTCCGTTTCGATGTGATGTGTTTTTGTAGCTCCATAATTCAATAAATATTTATTCTACTCTATTGACAACAATAGAGTTGATGAACAACGCACTGTTCGACGTTGGGTTGCAGAATTTCGTTCCGGAGATTTCAGCTTCGACGATGAGCCCTGAAAAAAAGACCATGGTTCGCTATACCTCTCTGCACTAACGTGAGGAAATCGAAGATATGTACCGAAAAATGCCTCAGCAGCAGCCGGTACTGGTCAACAGAAGAGGTGCCTTCCTGCCTAACGACAGCGCCCGTCTGCACGTTTCACAAATCACCGTGCGGAAATTAAACGAATTGAACGTCGAAGTTCTGCTACACACACACACCATACTTCCTAGACCTCTCGCTAACTGACCACCCTCTTTTCAAGCACTTCCATAACTTTCTCACCGGTAGAACTTTCGCCAATCAGAACCACGTAAACACGGCCTTCGTCGACTCCATCGAATCCCGAGCACCCAATTTTATGCTGATGGAATTAATCGACTTGTTTTATACTGGTGAAAGGGCACTGACTGAAATGATGCTTATATCGATTGGATTGAATGGGTATCCATTGAGATAATACAGTTTAATGTAGACTCATAAAAGCAGACAAACTTTTGAAACAACTTAATAATATTCGAAACAACGTTGATGCAAGCATTGATAAAATAATGAAACTGTTCCTACTGTTGATGATTCCTTCGGAAACATTCAGTTCAAATACTTACAGCTAATAGAAATTATTTAAAATAAACTTATATTTACCTTTCAATTCAAAAATAATTTCATCTTTCGTGTATTGAGCTAGTGGATCTATGGCGGAGTTTTCCCTTTCAATTTCTTCATCAATGATGGATTTGGTTTTCGTCATCCTTAGTTCATTTAGTAACATGATATAGTTTGACTGAAATATATCGGGTAATTTACTCCCTAGTTGCCTTTCCGGCAAGAGAATAGTTTTCAAATTATGGGTGTCCAAGAATAGCTCGGCAAAATACTTTTCGTAATCGTAATCCCTGAAGAGAAATTCAAGTTAAGAATTCAGTAAAATGATCCCAATTTATAAATATAGAATCTGGCAGTCGGCAGTGAAAACATTTTTGTAATAGGCACAGACAGCTCAAGTGAATCGAAGAAATGGTTTCAGAAAAGAAAATGAGTGAAAATATTCTTAATGTTATGTAAGATTCGCCAGAATAATAACAGGTTTTTTCTTGAAGTGAATTTATATTCATACCAAAATTACGATTTTCATAATTTTCAATGGGATAAATTATGAAATCCATCAGCCCGGATTTTGTTCTTTCTATCGTGATTCCAGCCGAGCAAACAAACATTCAATTGAATTCGAGAGCTACAGAAGCGAAGAATAAAAAACGTCAATTAAAAGTCGAAATTTGGAGAGGAAAGTAGAAATTTCGAGTTTAAAGGCGTAATTAGAAGTTTAAACGCGTAATTAGAAGTTTTAAGTGGTGATTTCGAGTTCGAAGTCGTAATTTCGAGTTTGAAGTCGTAATGTCGAGAGTAGAATCGAAATTTTGAGTTCAGACACTCATTTTCGAGTTTGAAGTCGAAATTTAGAAAGAAAACTGGAAATTTGGTGTCTGAAGTCGTAATTTCGAGTTTAAATTTGTAATTTCGAGTTTGAAGTAGTAATTTCGAGTTTAAAGTCGTAAGTTCGAGTTTAAAGTCGTAATTTCGAGTTTAAAGTCGTTATTTCGAAGGTGAATCCTAAATTTCGAGTTTGAAGTCGTAATTTCGAGAGTAGCATCGAAATAAGTCGAAATTTAGAGAGGAAACTGGAAATTTGGCGTTTGAAGTCGTAATTTAAAGTTTAAATATGTAATTTCGAGTTTAAAGTCGTAATTTTGAGTTTAAAGTTGTAATTTCGAGTTTAGAGTCGTAATTTCGAGTTCGAAGTCGTAATTTCGAGTTTAAAGTGGTAATTTCGAATTTGAAGTCGATATTTCTAAGGTGAATCCTAAATTCCGAGTTTGAAGTTGGAATTTCGAGATTAGAGTCGAAATTTCGAGTTAAAAGTTGAAATTTAGAAAGTTTGAAGGCGTTTCGAGTTTAAACTCTTAATTTCGAGTTTGAAGTCTTAATTCCGAGTTTGAAGTCGTAATTTCGAGAGTAGAATCGGAATTTTGAGTTCAGAAACTCATTTTCGAGTTTGAAGTCGAAATTTAGAGAGAAAACTGGGAATTTCCAATTTGAAGTCGATTTTGAGAACGTAATTTCCAGTTAAAAGTTGAAACTTCGAGTGTTTGAAGGCGTTTCGAGTTTAAACTCCTAATTTCAAGTTTGAAGTCGTAATTCCGAATTTGAAGTCGTAATTTCGAGAGTAGAATCGAAATTTCGAGTTCAAACACTCATTTTCGAGTTTGAAGTCGGAACTTAGAGGGAAAACTCGAAATTTGGAGTTTGAAGTCGTAATTTCGAGTTTAAATTTTTGATTTTGAGTTTAAAGTCGTAATTTCGAATTCAAAGTCGTTATTTCGGGTGTCCCAAAAGTCTTAGTATAGGCTAATTTATTCGAAGTACAAAACAAATCTACTTCTTTGCACATTTGCAATATTTTTACCCTTGCAGAAGCGGCAGCAAGTCATTGCACCCCTTAACATTAAACGAAACACAATATCGAAGAAGGCCTTGGAGAAACAAACATTTCTTCATAAACCAGAGTTCTGTACGATAACCCATTTCTGAAAAAAAAATGATTTCAAATAATCCAACATTTTTTTTTCAGCACATTTTGTAAATTCCATGATAACACGATTTTATAATTCAACCACGCTTTCATCTTTGAACTGAATCTCTCGATACTCATTCTATCCTTCCTCGCATCGATTACGTCGCACATATCTCTTTCTCACTCACTAACGTCTCTGAAACTACGAACGTACCGCTGTCATATCCCATCTCCAATCGCCGACGCACGACCTTGAAATGCATCAGTATATACTTTATTGCACTACTTTGAACATCTTATAAAATAAAATTCAACTGTTTTTCACTACAGACATTCATTACTAATCTTTTCTTTGAGTCGGAAACATATGACCTCTAGTTTGGGCAGAAATGTTTGTTTCTTCAACACCTGCAAAAAGAGCTACATGAGGGTTTGGAGTGCAGCCACTCTTGCAAGAGTGAGAAAGTGTCAGTCAGTCAATTGAACATTTTGAAGTTCAATTAAACGTTATGCAAATAACTGAAAGGAGTTTTTTTACAGCAATATTATCATTACGTATGTAGTCTAGAGAACAGAATTTTTCATGAACTCACGGATCCAAATCTGGAAAACAATACTCTATCGGGAAAGTTGATACGTTCTGAACTAAAAACGAACAATCGTTTTGGGAGTACGGCAAACTATTCTTGAAATGTAACTCCTTTTCGCTGAAGACTAATGTCGGCTCTGTTCCATGCCCACACAGATCCAATTTAGTTGGAACACAATTTCCTTCGACCACGATGACTATCTGCGAATTGTAAAACCCTTTTTTTGTCGGTGTAAAATAAATGTTCAGCAGATCTTTTTTGCCAGGCTTCAGCTCCCCATTTTTTGGCAATACCCAGTATGCATTTTTCATCATTGTGTTCAATGGCTGAACGTCTACATTCCATGTACTCAGTAAATATCCGCTGAAATATGACAAAAGTGATTGAATTCTGATTGTTATGACCACTCACAAAACAATCAAACTATTTACAAACTCTTCAAATGAAAAAAAATTTATGAAAATGCATTATGCTTTACTGAAATAACATGAAAGCCTGCCTGAATACAAAAATAACATTAATCCTACCACTAATTTTAAGAAGACTGTTACAGAGTATTTTTTTCCCCGATCGGCATTAAAGATAAATTTAAGTGACATTTATTCATCATAGAAGTGACAATTTCAATGCCTAGTCATTAAAAACAGTATGAAAATGCATTATGCTTTACTGGAATAACAATAATTTCATAATAGCCTGCTTGAATACAAAAAAAAATAATTCTACCACTAAATTCAAGAAGACTGTTTACAGAGTATTTTTTCTCCGATCGGCATCAAAGGTAAGTTTAAGTGACATTTATCTATCATAGAAGTGACATTTTCAACGCCTGGTCATTGAAAATAGTATAAAAGTGCATTATGCTTTACTGGGAAAGCAATAATTCATAATATCCCGCCTGAATACAGAAAGAACATTGGTCCTGCACTCAATTCAAGGAGACTGCTACAAAGTATTTTCCTTCGATTATCATTACACGTCNAAAACAAGTTAAAATATATATGATTAAGTGGTATTACATGTCTCGAAAACCATCACTAAAATATTCATCTAAGGAATAAAAAGCTTTTTTAATTAAAAAATTTTTGATTCTGTATTTGAACTCCTTCAAAGGTAGATTTTTGATATTTTGGGGAAGCGAATTATACATTTTTGGAGCATAATAATTTACGCCAGTTCTGGTTCTGTTGACTCTATGGTTCTGGAGATACAGATTTGAATTATTTCGAGTGTTATAACTGTGGATTGCATCATGTGTAGTATAACCTCTTATATGTTTTTTAACATGTAGCAGGCATTGCAATATATATAATGATGGAAGTGTAAGTATTTTATTATTTATGAAGCTACTTCTACAGTCTTGCCTGTAAGAAAGGTTATCAAGAATCCTAATTGCTCTTCTCTGGATGCCAAATAAATCTGATGCATTGGGCACATGGCCCCAGACAAGTACTGAATACGATATGTGAGATTGAATAATCCCATGGAAAGCTGTTTTCAGAACTGGTTTTGATACCGCTTTTTGTAAGTTCCTCAGGAGATAAGTATTTTTGGATATTTTGACTATAAGTCTATCAATATTTACATTCCAAGTCAATTTGGGGTCAATGTATACACCTAGAAACCTAACATATTCAGGGTTACTGATATCTGCCACTTCGCGCAACAAAAAAATGACTGTTTGGCTCTTATCTTCATTGAGTTTAAGATTATTTACGGCAAACCACTCACTGACATGTGTCAGAGTATCCTCGAATGTGGTACGCAAAGTATCAATATTATTTCCAGAAATTGATACAGTTGTATCATCAGCAAACAACACGAAGTTAGCAATTGTGTCACTAAATCTTATATCATTGAAGTAAATCAAGAAAAGGATCGGTCCCAATATCGACCCCTGGGGAACTCCATACTCAATAGGAAGTAAGCTAGTAAATTTGCCATTCAAGTAAACAGCTTGCTGTCTGTCGTCCAGATAGGACTTCATCAGTTTAAGACTGCCTGTAGATAATTTATAATATTGAAGTTTTGAGAGCAAAACTTTAGGGCAAACACAATCGAACGCCTTACTTAAGTCACAAAAAAATGACATTGTGAATCCGCCGGATTCAAAACTATCAGTTATAGTCTCAACAAGTGAATTTATAGCCATTGTTGTTGAGTGTTGGGATCGAAAACCGAACTGTACAGCAAATAAATTATGTTGTTCAAAGTGATTAGTTAAAGGTATTTTCAGCAGTATTTCGAATATTTTGGAAAAACAAGGTATGATAGAGATAGGTCGATTATTTGATATCAGATTTGTTGCGCCACCTTTATGTATAGGAATTACACAACTCAATTTGAGACAAGTAGCAATGCATTTGATAATTTTGGTATTAAAACCATATATGTCCTTTGTCTGTTTGTTTTTTAAAGTGAATATGGCATCCCTTACCTCTATGTATGTGAATTCCACAAAGCTCAACATTTGAATATGGTTGACATTGACATTTTCAAGAAAGTCAGTAGCAGATTTATTGAATTTCTGTTGTGACAGATTGTTAACAGAATTTTTTGCTACATTACTGAAATATTCATTGAAATCTTCTCCTGTGAAACTATTTGAATTTACATTAGATTTACTTTCTCTATGTCTGTTAATGAGTTGCCACATAGCTCTAGGTTCATTAACATAATTCCTTATGTAGTTATCACGGGCTTGTATTTTTGCATGTGAGAGGGCTTGTCTATATTTCATTCTATAATTATCTATCAAGTTTTTCAGCTCTGGTCGGTCAGTTTGACGGTAAGCATCAATCATGAAATTCAGAGTTTCGCGCATGTCACGTAATTTGTTGTTGAACTAATTTAAATGTGGTTTGGTGCTGTAATCTCCCGTCTATTAATGCACTTCATATAAAAATGAAAATATGGCATCATGAGAATTTTTGTTTGACTGAAATCCAAATTTTTTGGAGTTTATTATATTACCGAAGTTCAAATGTTCTGCTAAACGTATTTTTACCTGAAATGAAATAACAGTGAAATACAATACAAGTAAAAATAGAACAATTAAATAAAAATTTAAGATATTCCAAGCCAAGTTACTTCACGACGTTTCGATTGTTACTATCGATATTCCAAGCCAAATTACTTCACGACGTTTCGATTGTTAGTATCGACAATTGTCTTCGGGTGATGACTTGACTAATTCCTCTGAGAGATGACTATTTATAGGTCATTCGAGTACTTTCACTTCTCTCCGCTTTCCATTTTCCGCTTCACCGGTTCGCGGGAGATGGCCGTTTGACGGGAGTTGGCCATTTTTCACTTTATTATGGGTTTCCATATGTTGCGTATTTCTACGCTAGCTTGGCTGAAGACATTGTTGGACAACATGTATGCCGCTATTCATCAGTTTATAAATAAATAAATAAATATTATACAATGGAAGTCCGAACTAATAATATTCACCATAAAACATTATCAACCATTTTCAAACAAAGATACGTCTAGAAAAGTTATGAAATTTTCAAACCCGGGCATAAATAATTGCGAATGTTATGAATTGAATATTACAGAAAAAGTCTAGTTTCTGCATGTCAGCTTCAGGAAGATCATATTTTCATCTAACGTTGAAAATAATTATAATATCAATTTGAAAGTTACAAAAATCTGGTATTATCTAGATTCGAAGCAAAAATTTGTCAGTCTCTTCATACTTTCACTCATCATTATTACCACTTTTGGATGGTCTTGGACGTCCACCATAAATCTGCCTTTTTTCATACTATATTTTTTAACGTCCAGTTGGGGCCTGAATCCTATTACAGCGTGATACATATCATTGGCACTCAACATGCAATTTAAGGAATTTGTTGGGTTATTTTCTTCCATAATGTAAAAATCGCCAGTTGTTTTTATAGCTACATTCAGTGGGGCCGAAGTTTCGTTCATTATCACTATTTCTTCTGAAATCATCATGTAAATTGATAAGTGTTAAATCATTACGTTCGCTAAAATTAGAAGTCCAATATTCTTTGAATATGCATTGAATAAGATAGCTCTTAAAAGAGAAACATTTATTCGCGATCTTCAACTATCAGAAATTGTGGCAAAAGTTTCAAAATGCTGGGTTTTGTGTTGAGAATTTCTACTGATTTTTAAATTAAAACAAAAAAGATTTTATTTTGTGCTTTCGTTAGATCCATTCTTGAATATTGTTCGGTTAAATGGGACCCATACTATAATGCAAATATCGATTTGATTGAGAATGTTCAAAAGAGATTCTTGAGGAATTTTACTTTTCACTTTGGTATTCAACGAAATGAATATGAGTACAGTCAAATCTTAACCAAATCGAATATAAAATCATTGGAAGATAGGAGAATTTCTATGAACTTGAATTCCCTCTTCAAATTAATAAATAGTGAGATAAATTGCCCAGAAGTACTTCAACTAATAATTTTTCATATTAAACAAAAAGATACGAGAAATCCTGATATTTTTCATATACATTTTTTCCATACCAATTATGCTTTGAACAGTCCGATGCCTCGTATTTTGAAGCTGGGAAATCAATATCATAATAACTTAGATCTGTTCAATGTATCACTTCAGGTAATAAATAAATAAATAGTCATTTAAGATTTGTGTTTTGGAATTGATTAACATCCCTCTCTGAGCAAGTAGGTTGCTTGGGATCAATAAACGTCATTATTTATATTTGTCGACACACAAACATGTTCTTCTAAACTATTATTTCAATTGAGATGGACCAAATTGATTTTCATAACATAATTTTATAGGCAATAGTCTTATTTTCAAATTGATTACTTCCTTCCTTTGTTTGGAAGATTCCCTCATCTTTTTTGTATCAAGATGGAGTAGTAGAAAGCCAAAAACTTTCTTTCCCAAAAATTAATCACTCCTAAAAATAAAATCCCTTCAATTCAAGTCTGTAAAAGTAAAATCCTTTTCATTCGATGTTCAATTTATCCATTTTGAAAATAATATGTAGTGGTATTGATCTCTAAAATGTACAATAGCATAGGATGAACAAAAAATACAGAGATGCCAATATCGATGTCTATCGATGTCCTCAGAGGATAAAACGGAACGAAAATATATCAATTTCAAATTTTGGTTCAAAATGTGGCGCCCAACGAGGGGCTCAATTTATTTACAGTCTGTAATATATGTGATTCTTTTTATCAACAAATATTAATGGAATTGGATTTTGACATACTGTCCCCATTACTGTCATCGGTTATCAATTGAAACCGACATTTTTTGAACGTCATTCGCATAAAAAATATAATACAACGCCAAAGTACAATTTCATGTACGTCTATTTATAGAAATTCCGGTATGTTGTCGACTTCATTAGTGTCACTATGGATCCAAATTGATCAGTTTAGAATAAAACCTTGGTATCCTTCTAACAATTTTTTGTAGTCTTAGTTGCGTCAACTCAATATTTGACGCCCTTAGACGGTACGGACACAGTATTTTGTATACAGAAATACTGTGGTACGGACGAGATCCCGGGCGCCAGCCTTGTGAATTGTAAGTGGCACAATGCACCCCTACACCGGGCAGCTACGGTGAAGAAACGGTAATCCAAGGATCTGTGCGAACTAGATATAATCGGTAGCCAAATCCTACTTGACTCTGCTGAGAATTCCACCTGTTTACCAACTGCACTATCTGTGTATGATTCGGAATCACCTTCTGTCGGCACAAACTGCAGTCAGCTTGATTACCGTCGCTTCCTCTGAATTCAGTCGGCGGTTCTCGGTGTGGCTTCGGCTCGTTCCTCTTCTGCTGGCTTGGCGTGGTGGCTAGGCACTGTTGCCACAGCTACCCCGTACGGGGTAGTTCTACCCCTCTTGCACTTAATTTCACCCTCTCGCTCCCCTCAAGTGAATCTACCCCGCTCAGATAAAACAAAAGAATGTAAAATAAAAATTGAAAAAATTTACAAATATTTGGGGTTTGATATTGACTCTACTGCCACAGATCTACCGCGTTATACGAGCCGAGTACCCTTGGCAAGGTTGGTGTAGACTGAGTGTCTGGCGCCGCTGGTGGCGGTTCCTTGGGTTGTGTCTTACTGCAAGACTCTTACACCGATAGTTCCGATATTCTGTGACTGAGTACTGAGTTACACTACAACTACAATGCTCTTCTGCTCTTCCAATGATAACGAGCGCCGTGATCATGCTCTGTGCGTGTGAAATGTTATTTGATGATTGTGACATGACATTCGACATTTTTATTTGAAGTTGAGATCGTAAATGTGGACATGTTTATAGTATGTGCAATCTCAGTCTGTGATGTAAATGTAGTTATATGTGTAGTCGAAGTAACAGATAATGTGCACTCTTAAAGTTTTCGGCACTCTCAAAGTCCAAAAAAAACCAACACATAGGAATGAACCGGCAGCAAACTAGTCCACGTGGACTGTAGACTTGACGGTTCGTATTGGATAATTTTTACTGGCCAAGATTTGTCATTTGCTGAAGAGTCATAAAATTAAATTTGAAGTCATGTTACGCCGACGAATAGATCGGTGAATGCGGCCTTTAGTTATCGCCATCGTGTTCAGTTCAGGATCATTTCATGAAGACACCAATTTGTTTAACAAAATTGTCGCAGTTTCGGAAGTAAATCACTTTGATAGTGTTATGTCCGTTATTAGTTCGCAATCCACCACCAAAACCATTTAACTTGAAGATTTGTTGAAGGTTGAAATATGAAACTGAAAACGAATAAATTCTCACATTTTCTGACACCACTACCCAGTCATCTTCAATGAGTCCCTTGTAAACTGCCTCGTTCATGTCTTTCGGTTGACAATGTTCCGCAACATAGTTTGGTATATTCTGACTGTTGATCTGGTTCAGTTCCAAGAGGTATTTCTTCGTGATAGATGCTATTGCCGTGTACTCAAACTTAGTAACATATCGAGGTAAACTAAAAGGTTTGCCCTTCCTGAACTTGTATGAAGTTCTCCATTATAATTTTTATATAATTTCCAGATTGTGAAAGGTAAAAAATACCCAAAAAAGGTCGATGAAAAACTGATTCTCCTCCACAAAAAATTACTTTCGTTGAAGACTTCATTATCTTCAGTCATTTATTATTTTTGAATGAAAGGAGTTTTTTTTATTTATATTTATAAAGTCTGATGTCTCACTTCGAAAATAATATTTTTCTTGAACTCTCCTGTCACTCCTGGAAAATATTTCACAATGAACTTCACGCGTTCACCAGATTTGAGAAATCCTTTAGCTGGAGTAACATCCAACCAGCCCGTCATTTTAGTACATTCATCGAATGAGCCATCCCCGTTGATCATCTTGAAATGGAAATCTGCATATCCGTCATTCGTCAGTGTAAAATACCTCTCGCAAACTTCACAAAAAAGCTAAAAAGAAGAAAAGGTCGAAATTAGATGATCAACAAACTAAATGGGGTGAAAAGTATCGGGCCTAACACATAGATGGCGCTGTTTTATTCCATTCACCGCTTTTTCACTTAGTACTAACCTTCAAAAGCTATTGAAATTTCATGATATTCACAACATCGATGTGGCTCTGGTTCAGGAGACACATCTGAGGAACGAATCTATTGTCATTCCAAATTACAGATTCTACCACACAGAACGTGTTGGTCGTACTGGAGGAGGATTTGGCATTTTTGTCAAGCGATCCCTTCAGTGTGTCCAATACGGCATTGACAGCACCCGTTTACACGGAACTGAGGCCGTGGGGGTCGAAATTCAACTGAGCAGGGGTTGTCACAGAATAATCTCGGTTTACAACCCTCCGAACAATCAATTACTCCCAGAATCACTGGATGAACTGTTGATGGGAAGCAACATTCGGACAACTGCTGCTGGTGACTTTAACGCCAAGTACAGACTATGGAGCAGACCCACCAATCGAAACGGCCAAGCGCTCTATGCGGATGCCGACAGGCATGAATATCTTGTGCTGGGACCGGATTAATCTACGTACTATCGTAGACAGACTAGGCCTGACGTACACATCGCGCTTCTCAGAAACGTATCTCTGACTAGCGAAATTTACGTTCTGTCGGAACTAGATTCTGATCATAATCCAGTAATCCTAGTATTGGGCGGTGATCTTCCTTCTCCTGATCATCGCATGAGATCTTCAACGGACTGGGATATCTTCACAACCCAGCTCGGAGAGATGCGCACCCTTCCTGAGGCACTTCGCTCTCCCGACGAACTTAACGCGGCAGTTGAGCGTTTCGAGCTTTCTGTGAATGAGGCGTTTCGAGCGGCCACCTCCATGGAAGAGTGTCCACTGAAGAGCTATAATGAGTTTCCCTCTCGTTTCAAAGCCTTGATTCGAGAAAGAAACTGCTTGAGAAGTCTCTATCAACGAACCCTTTTCGCAGGAGATAAAATTGCGGTAAGCAGGATGGCCAACCAAGTCAAACAGGCCATCATTGATCACCGAAACGAAAGGTGGGAGGAGCTGTTGGAATCCCTTGAGCCTGGGAGTGACGAGCTTTGGCGAGGGACCCGTAGGCTCAAAAGGAAGAAGACTGCTTCCTCACCCATTCACGGAGAGCGCGGAGTGTGCTACTCCCCCGCCGACAAAGCGTTAGACTTTGCTGATACGATGGAAAGTCAGTTTCAACTCAACGTTGACGATGATGACGACATCGACCGCGATATGCTGTTGGAAGACCGGGTTCACCGTATCCTCAGGGAAGATGACGACATCCGTCCAGCTTCTGTGGAAGAACTGAAGGGTTTTACATCAGGGCCGCAAAGGCCAAGAAAGCTCAGGGGGCCGACTCAATAACCAACAAGTTACTGAAGAGGCGACAACTGCGTTGTGAATCTCCTGAACATAATAAACAGTTCGTTGACCCTCAGATACTTCCACAGAAGGTGAAAGCATGCGATCGTTGTCATGATCCCAAAACAGGGTCAGAACCCGCTGTTCCCACAGAACTATCGCCTGATTAGTCTGCTCTCGTCGGCGGCTAAGCTGGCTGAAAGAGTTGTTCTGCAAAGACTCAACGAAGAAGTTGAGGACCGAAATGTTCTGCTTGACGAACAATTCGGCTTCAGGAGAGAACACTCCACTGAGTTACAGGCTCTGAGACTGGTCGAAAATACCAACGCAGAACTAAATCAAAACAAAAAAGTTCATGTCGTTTTGCTAGACATCTCGAAGGCCTACGACCGAGTATGGCACGAAGGCCTTCTGAATAAACTGATTGCGTTCCACCTGCTTCGGGGCCTGATCCGGTGTCGTCTACATGCACGTGCATTGGACGACCTCGAGCGCTGGTACCTTGAATGGAAGATCCGAGTGAATCCAGAAAAGATCCAGGCGATCACCAAGGGAAAATTGCTATCTTCTTCGGCCAGAAAAGTGAGAATCTCTGGAAGGGAGATCGACTGGCAAGCGCGGGTAAAGTACCTCGTTCTTCTTATAGACCGTAAGCTCACCTGGAACCCGCACATCACAACCGTGAAGGCAAAGATCGAGGGTCGGATAGCTAGTCTGTACCCTACGATCAACAGACGTTCTAAATTGAGCCTTAAAAACAAAATTACGATCTACAAAATGATGTTCAAGCCGGTCATCGTGTATGCTTCAGGCGTCCAGGGACAAGCGGCTCCGTCAAATATCTCCATTTTGGAGAGATTGCAAAACAAGCTAATAAGAATGATTGTGAATGCTCCTTGGTTCGTACGGAACGAAGCCATCCACAGAGATTTACAGCTGCATTCCATTCAGCAGTCCATTCAGTCGAGAAATTGGCAAGTCCTTGATTGTGCTGAAAACCATGAAAATCCGTTAGTCAGGAAAGCTATGGATTACACTGTAGACGACCCCTCCCGATATAGAAGGCCCAGACACTCTGTCGAATGAGGCCCTCATGTCCTTCGTTAGAAAATGAACAATATTTTCATCCAAACACACCAGCCAGGTAGGGGTTCACCGTGAAGGGCGACAACGATGTCTGAGGACTTTCATGCCGCCACCAAATAATCAGTCTTGACCCGCTCGTCCTTCTGACGAGCATCAATCCTAAGGGTAAGGGGGCTGGGCTCCAACCTGCTTGAAATGAAGATGACTTTCCACTTCATGATATTCTACTCATAAGTTTGTGAGTTCTTGTGCTAAAAGTGGCACTACTTTTGTTACAATGTAACAATGGATAAAAAACAATTTTTTCAAAATTTCACACTGCTTCTTGATGGTAAAAATACCGTTCAAACGAAGTAATGGCTTGGAAAATGTTATAAGGACTCCGCTCCATCAGAAACAATAATTGAACGTTGACTATGAGAAAGCTGTGTTCAAAGTGGGTGTCGTGCGAGCTGACTGTTAACCAAAATCAAGAACGTCTTAATGATTCTGGCGATGTTTCAACATAACAAATATGTGACAATGGATGGAACATGGATTCATCACTTCACTCCGGAATCAAAACGATCATCATCTGAGTGGAGAGCAACTGATGAACCAGGTCCAGACAAAATTTTCACGATGGCGATTGGGCGCCATCTGGGAAAAAAAAATTAAATGGAAAGGGGGATCTTGTGACACATCATTTTTAAGCGTCTGACGAATACTTCACAACCCTAGAGTATGAAGTCAATATCTTCATCTACTACAAAATGGCGAAACATTTAATAATTTCCTAAAGACAAACACATTAATATCGATATTTCTAGAAATATTCCTTTTTATCTGCCATATGGCAATTCCAACAACCCGATAAGGTTAGTTAAGTTATTTTTTGTTTATAAAAACGACAAAAAATGTCGGTACGACAATGAATATCACTGTTCAGTTAGAATATTCTCATTTAGTTTTTGGTTTCACTAGTAGAAAGGTACCACGTCAACAATCTCTAAAATGGTCAACTCCAGTCCATTGGAAGAAAAAATTGAAGATTTTTATTTACGGAGCGACGCGTAACTTTCACGAGACTGAAACGATTTTCAATAACCGTTTTCCGAATCGTCCTATCTGTAGAAAATATTTGAGGGAAATTGTATCCAAATTCACAACTACCGGTAGCATACATAACAAGAAGCCCCCAGGTCATCCGTCCATTCCAGAAGAACAGCAAGTGCAAATAATTGGTGAGATGGTAGTAAATCCTGAACAGTCTACTTATTCCGTCGCGAATGTTTGTGAGGTGTCTCCTTCTACTGTGTGGAGACTTTTGAAGAGGAATGGGTATCATCCATACACAATTAAAATGGTACACCAATTAACTGAAGATGACCCTGATCGAAGAACAGAATTCTGCGAAATCATGATGGAAACCATTGCAAGGCATCCTACCTATCTCCACAATATTTGTTTTAGTGACGAATGTATTTTGTTTAAACGGCAATGTTCACAGGCAAAATTGCCGTTATTGGTGTGACACCAACCCTCATGTTTTCTGGGAAACACATACCTAATATCCAGAAAAAATTAACGTTTGGGCAGGAATATTGGGAAACCTTATTGTAGGCCTGTATTTATGGATGAAAATTTATTTGAATATGCTGGAAACTACTGTTGACCCTCTCATCACTGAAATCGTCGAAGCGAATCCTAATAAATTCGATATGGATATTGTATTTCAACAAGATGGAGCACCACCACATTACTCCAGACAAGTAAGAAACTATTTGGATACTACTTTAACCGGTCGTTGGATTGGCCGTCGAGGTCCTACAGATTGGCCAGCCACTTGCAAGATTTGACTCCATTGGACTTTTTTTTATGAGATTATTTGAAGCAAAAGGTGTACGAAACTGAGCCTGCTTCAATATTGGATATACGAAAGAGAATAATAAATATTTGTAGAGATATTGACGTTACTGGGTTCGAAAATGTTCGGCGTGAAATATCGGATAGGCTGTTCATATGTCAAGAAGTTCAAGGCAACTGACCATATTATGTAGTTAACTGTCAATGTATTCAGGAAATTATTAAAAGTTCCGACATTTTCATTCAATTTTTTTTCTCAGATGGCGCCCAGTCGCCATCTTGAAAGTTTCATCTATCAATTTTACTTCAAAACATTAAAGAAAATCACTGTATATCTCAAGTGCGACTCGATCAAGGAAAAATATACAATTCTGGATGAGGATTGATTGAGTTCATCAGAAACAACTCGAACTATATAGCAGCCAGATGCTATTTTTACATAAACTTGTTATATGATTATAGAATTTTAATTTATCATCTATAAATACCCCTTAAAACTTTGTGTGAGTTTTGTTAACTATAGCGTGATTTTCTATAAGTTATTCGTCAATGCAATGCAATAAGTTAATTCATAAAATCACGACTTTATGTCACGACTGAGTTAAATCTACTCATGTCATCGCTCATTTGATGCAATCCCAGCCTAAGGACCTTGTTTAAAATTGTAAGGGGTATATTATTAATTAGGATAGGTTTTGGCTTTTTACTTCCATCTTTATACAAAAAAATGTGGAATTCAACTGCTTATACTTTGAAGAGATACTTTGATGATTCGTTCAATTTCACCTGAATTCTTACAATTAATCTACATTGAAAAACTTTTACATTACCTGTCTCCCAAAGTCGATAACATCCGAACTCAACTTGTATGACATACTTGACGACATTCCAGACACCACAATACTCTCTGTTTCTCCCCCACTTATGGCACAAACGGCGGTGAACTTGATTTTGACATTCGGCGGGGGAAAAAACCCTATCGATACTACAATATACTCGTAAGGATCCAGACAACCGTTCGAAGGTTCAATTGTAATCATATTGCTGAGAGCGGATCTTTTCTTCGTTTTAACACCACTAAAAAACGTATCGTCCTCGTTTTCATCGGGCGTCCGAAAACCTGCGACAAGATTTCTGAAGATGCTCTTCGCTTCCTCGTTATATCGGTCAGTGCTCCATTCTACGTAGAAATCCTGTGTCCTTCCGATAAAGCTGACGTTCTGTGTCTCATCTGTTAAGGTCTTTCTACTTTTCTCTGCCACTATATCGGACGGTCTCTTGTCTGTCTTGGGTAAGGAGGGTCTTTTTATGCTAATGGACATCATTTCTTGCTTACGAATGATTTCAGATCTTCTTTCCAAGCTTGTGGAAAGAATCGATTTAGATTTAAAATGTCCTGCCTCCTCATAAACTATATCGTCGATTACAGACGACGAAGATGTTTCCTCAAGCTCCCGATGCATCACAGTCTACAAATAAATATTAATTTTCAGTAGATAGTTCCCTAATAACGTGGTAATTGACAAATTGGTTAGGATATAAAGATAGAGTGTCGGTTAAATTGTGGTAAAGTTGTGTATTTTAGAGATCTATTCAATGATGTAAAGAAATCGAATTTAGCGCTTTTGGTTCTGGAGATATACAGGAAAAACCAAAAAATCCCAAATTATTTTTTGCCTATATCTTCTTTATTCGCAGACATATTGAAAATCTGTCCACATTTTGCTCGGGTTTATTGTTATTTTGTAGTTAGTACCTGCATTAAACGATTAAAGGNACCCCCTTTAAGGGGCTGTATCTTAACAAGGGATGCTCCAATGGAATTTCTTTATATGGAAGATCCTTTCTTTTTTTTATGAGGAATCATTTCCTTGAATATTTTACACTCATTTAGTTACACCCTGTATAAATAATTGCCCATTATTTTGGATAGAATATATTGATTTGGACTATATAAGGGACTATATGAGGGATTTAGTTAACCTTCCATATGTCTAATAAACATTCAAACAATGAAAAATACCTTCATCTCCGGTAAATTTTCGATTTCTACCATATCCTCAAAAATTTCCCAAGTAAAACTCGCTGGTAAAAAGGTGATGTTCTGCAGAATGACATTAGTGTACGCATATGAATTGGGAGGTATGCATTCAAAGTCGAAATTGTCTGGGTAAAGTTTAACCGTTGGAAAACATATTTCTCCAGTCAAATCTATTGCGTTCTGAAAATAAAAATACGTAGGTATTTCATGCTGAATTGACGATGTTTCATGGTGAATTCCGTTAGTTCGGACTTACATTGCCTAACAGGATATAAAATATTTGAAATCCCTGAAATTACAATAAAATAAAATACAAGTAACAATTTAGAATTGAACTATAAAAAAGAAATGAAAATGAAAAGATTTCAAACCAAGTTACTTCACGACGTTTCGATTGTTAGTATTCACAATCCTCTTCAGGTTATAACTGGACTCCGAGAGATGACTATTCATAGGTCATTCGAACGCTTTCACATATTCCCTCTTCCCTCTCTCTTCTTCACCGGTTTAGCGGAAGTTGAACGTTTTTCCGCTTGATTAAAGGTTTCCATATGTTGCGTATCTCTACGCTAGCTTGGCTGAATGCGTCGTTGGACAAGATATACCTATATGCACCTTCTTTGAACTTCCTCTCAAACCAGTGTTCCTCACTGTGGGTGATCTCAGCTTGGTACCATTTGATGCAATGTTGATGAGTCCAAACATGCTCTGCTATTCCCGATTTGCTGGTTTCTCCTCGCTGGGTATTTCTATTGTGCCCGGCAATGAGGATTTGCCACACTCACAGGGTATCCAGTGAATGCAGTTCTTGAAATCGCAGTCCGCGTTTGTTGGCCTGGTTTTCGGAAAGACCATCTGTAGCAGCTTCACGAAATTGTAATTTCATTTTACTTTTTATTGCTTAATACAATTATTGTTTTCAGCTATTCATTTCGATTTTCAACTTTATTTGTTCCTTCAGAGCTTTCAAATCATATTATATCATATTATGGTTATCATAGTGCTTTGTCACGTTTTGTAAGATTAGGTAATGAATATTGCAATAGAGGTTTAGATTTTAATCGACAAACATTAAATACATTCAAATCCAACTTAAAAAGATCAGTAGTATAGGTGTCCGTCTATTACTGTAGTACTGCTA